AGTTTAAACGCAAAATTCGAAGGAGCGTTTTGTAGCATACTAAATTAGAGTTATCTAACACAGTGCATGCATTGATTGGGCCCAATATACTATATTCCACTCTGTCTTCGGAGGTTTTCTCGTTTATATTTTGGATATTTTCGAGGACATTCGAACGTTCGGGTACCCGCGATCACTTTATCTAGACAACATGGCAACATGTTTTAAAACACTGAAATTAATCAATGAAGGACAAGATTATAAAAATCTTCACGTTAAGAATTTTTTTGGAACTGTTTTCGCCCTCGTCATCTGTGCTATCGTCTTTGTACTTACTCCACTAAATATTCATGTTTATTTTAGATAGATGCTTGGTTGGATGAGCTCGCTGAAGCATCTGGAGGTGATCAGTGTACAGACGTGCTTCGTAAATGCAGCAAGTTATTAACTGCTGACGAATTTACTGTCTTCATCCGCCTGATCAAGAAAGATTTACGCATCTCGGCCGGCGCGAAAAACATGTAATTTCCTTTTGCTTATTTATGTAGACATAACTTAAAACTTCGGGCCTGACCCTAAAAAGTCATGTCGCGAACAGTTAACCACGGTTTAATGACTATGCCTTGTATAATTTATATTACTTATAACACTACCTGTTTGTAGAATAGGCATTGCGTGACTTTTCCCCAGTAGTTGGTTGCCTTCGACTCAAATTTCCATTGAAATTTAGGGCTTTACCCTAAGAAGTTATGCCCTCACCACTTAAATCCATTTCCTGCACTTATTAATTTCTAAATCATCCCCTTGATATACATATATAATCAACATCTGGTATTAATTATGAATGACTGATAACGGCTACTGGCCACTCCTGCCTCCCTTGTCTTTGCCGATTCGACTTCATATGTGTATTACGAAGAGGCGCAATTACTTGAGGAAATGGACATTTTACTGCGTGAATTTTTGAGACTGGTACCACAGCTCGTCGTCAGACTATAGGATGTGTACAAATACTATCGGCTAATTAACCCTGTCTAAAAACGATTCTACGGCTTGACGGCGTTTGCATCAGTAGGCATTTATTGCATTTAATAATCACGTCGTGTTTGGCTGTGCGCGTTTGATTTTATCCTTGAAGATGCTGTGCGTGGCATCCAAACAGATACGCCGATTAATGCCTGCCTCATCTGAGTGCATTGCTTCCAACATTTACAGGCCTTTTCTGGTTGGGCTGGTGCCAACAATCTGTGTGTTCTCCCGCACAAATTTGTGCCCGCTTTCCCGTGTGTGCATGGTCATCTGGGGCATAGGGTCTCGTTCCCTGACCACTAACTGATGTTCGTGTGCGCGGATAAAGACGGATTTCATTGCTTGCCACAATTAATGGCACCAAAACTGGCACAGATTGTTTGATAGGCAATGCTTTTTCTGTCAAGGTAGGCGCCCGTGTCCTCAGAGTGTACAGCCTGTGATCTTAAGTTGGCTGCGCACTGATATGATACTTGCAGTTGATGTTTCCTCAGTTGCTTTTCGATAAGCTAATACATTTTTCACACGCGGAAGCTTTTGCCAGGTCATTTATAATGTCTGTGTGGCACTGTCGTTTAAATTTGCGTTCTCTTTTTAATCTTGTCGTTTTATGCACTGATGCACGATGTCACATAGATATTGAGAGGTATTTCATTCCCGAACGATAACTTAAGGGGACTGTAGAGTAAACTCCTTTTGTGAGACACTGGGGGATTACTGTCTAAGTGTTAAATTACCTTTAAATATGTTTCTTTGCTATAAACTGATTTATACAGCAATCCACTTATTTTTAGATGTACAAGAGCATTCGGAAGTGGGAGTTGTCGATCAGCCTGGATTTCAAACGTAGACTCGAGTCCTGTAAATATAGAGTTCAGGTTTTTGTATGGCATGTCTAAATGCTATCTCTTGAGAATAACAAGTATGTCATCTACATAGCGCAGCAAGA